ACAGCCACCTACACCCTCCCTAATCTCCGGTCTTATTGACTTTGTCTTTAAACCGGAAATGGAGGTGGGATTGGCGAGCGAGTGCGCAGATTCTCCGCAAGTCTGCTTTAACTGTTGTTTTTTTCATTCGCGGTAATTTGCTGCGTTGCGTTTATCTTGCTGTAGCCTTCGTGCAGCTTGCCCAGCTTGCCTCAATGTCTGCTTTGGCTTGCTTCAGCGTTTGCTGTGGCTGTTGGAGCGCGTGGTGCCCATCGTCGAAACCGACAGGGGAACTGTCGTGTATGTATAGTCCACAACGGGTCAATCAGAATTCTAATGCTCGGACCCTGATGGGACTGCGCCCCTTCCCAGGATCCCTCATTTTGCGGAAAGGCCCAAGTGCAACTCCATGCCGCTATCATGAGAGCGTGCCGTGGCTATCGAGTTTTCTTCATAGCTGATTGGTCCTCTGACGCCTGCTCGTGGAGCGGACTGAATAAGTACCCCACAGCCTTTTGTTAGACGTGCAATGACTTGCTCCACTTGCACTATTTTGCCTTGATGGGTTCTGCGTGAGTGCACTTATCCTCCGGGCCGATTGACTTCTCTTCTTCTCTCGTGCTGGCGTTCGGGACAACAGCAGAGCTAGCTCACATTTCGTGCTGATTACAAGTGCCAGGCACGGGTCGTAACAGGGCCACAGTCCACAAGCCTTTTGTCTCTCCGGTCTAGATCGGGAGCGATAAACGTTCACCTATCGCTAATAGAACTCACCCGTCCTGTTGCGGTTACTGTCCTTGCTGGTTGGTTGATCAATTCAGCCAAAAGGCTGTCGGTACCCTACTGCGAATTGCGTTTGGAAATAATGTGCTGACAACCGCCAGAACTGGTATAGAACACAAACCTCCGACATTTTAACTCTATTGCTGTTTGCTAAAAATGGCTCTTTAATTGGGTCAAATAAGACCTTTCTTGCCATAGTTGGTCTTTTAAAAAAGGAGCGCTTTTTCTCTTCGTAAATCAAGGCTCTCCTCACTCAACCAACAGCATACATTTTTACCTAATTTAAACTTGTCTTTTTTCGGATTATTGAAATCCTTAGGCTACATATATCGATGAAAACAACAACAAACTCGCGACGGATTTCCAACGCCTCTTCAAGTACTTTTCGCCGTCCAGCACATATCTCCAACTGACAACCTCCACACCACAACCACAGGTTAGAAGATAGACGAGAGTTCCTTTACGTCGATGAACACTTCTAAGTGGAAATAAGGGCTTCTGTTTTTGCTAACTATTTTCCTGTCGCTACACAACTGCATTAATCTAAATAAGATATGCTATCTATATCTGATAACAGGTACAATTTACCATCAAAGTTTAGTTCCTCAATAATTCAACTATTCACTCCGCAACTCGAGCTAACATCTGCTTTAATAGACCTCTGTCCTCCAGATCTCATCGACGTACCTGCCGTCAACAGATGACTTAACTTAAAAAAATGTTTCGGAGTCTATTCGCTTTCCAATTACTAAAAATGTACAAAATCTATATCTTCTAATTTCAGGTCGGCCAGTACATGGTGATAAATGTTGAAACGAACTACCCCGTGGATACCATTCATTACTTGGTGCGTTGAATTTTCGTCTATCTAGATATTTTTTCTGTACAATACATATTGGCAAGGATAAGAGACGCTGAGATGGCCACTTGTAATTGAGTTATCGCAAGTACGTTCGGTTTATTCGAGAATCGAAAATGGAATCTTTGGTCCATGAACCTTAGGTCCAGTGTTCTACCATTAAGGCACTAGCCCGTTTTCCTGACGATTGTAATCAATAGTATTGACCACCCTGCGCATGATGCTCAAAAATTTGTTTAAAAGGAAAGTGAACATTTGAAGTTACAAAATCAGACGAAAAACGATGAACGTAGGGACACTGTACAGGCATTTTTATCTACTTCAATTCAGTTAACCTGCGTTCGATGGGGTTGGCTGAAAGTTTACTTGAAATTCCCTTCATTCCGAATCCAGATAATTGCTGGAGGAAACATAATCACCGCGGACCGTATTGTAATGCCCAATTCCGTCTCAATTCGCTCCTTCTCAATCGCAATTTCGAAGGCAATGGCGCCAATCTGCCGCGTAGTTGCCTTTTGTGTGAAAAATGACGGCGAAATTGTCGTGGACAGCTTGACCTTTTTCACAAACTATACCAATTTAAATAATGTTCACATGGAGGTCAATCGTGGGAAGGACCTCAATCTGGATACAGTTGAGATTAGAGGACATGCGACTCCCGGTTCCTATTTGGCTTTCAATGTCCTACATTCTGACCTCTTCCGTTATGACAGTCCATCCTTCATTCAGGAAAACGACGTAGGTCTCTTTTAGTACATTTTACTGTCTACTGATAGGCATACAGTAGCCACCTTAACTCCTATTATTGAATTTACCTGTTCAGGTAGTGGATGAGATGTTTTCCTACGAGGCACAAGCGCAACTACCCCTCATGTTCACTTGGTTCGAAAGTGTAGAGTTAGTCAATCGTGTCTACCTTCCAACGCCCACTTACGGTGCTGATGCGAACACAACCGTTGAGAAGTCGGGATTGGTGTTGCTGACTGACGCAAACTTTACAAAAGCAAATTTCTATCGTAAGTGTCCTCGCATTGCAATTTGCTTTGCCAACTATAATCTTGAGTTCGCTGCAGTGAGGCCCTTTTTCATGAGCAGATTGACAGCTGGATTTTTTGGCCGGGAATGTGACCTTCGTAGAGGGCTTTAAATGGCTTCTTTCTCCTTCTCACCGAAGACAGAAAATATCCTCCGACTTTGTTGCTTGTCTGAGAATATGAGATAGTAAGCTAAGGAGTCTGAGTTTCTAAAGTAAAACATATGCATTATCCAGTAAATCATACGCTATGCTATATAACAAAGTTAACTCCAGGGCCACCTTAAAACGCGACGTTGTGTATGACTGGCTAACGATGGCCAATAAGCCAGCAGAAGCGATCACGGCCTCCCTTATCCTTGTCGATACTTTCTTATCTGCGTAAACTAATAGGTGCTGTGGGACT